ATGTGTAAATTTGTTTCTTTTTTGACACTTTTTTGGGGTTTTTTTTTTTTTGTTTTTTTTTTTTTTTTTTTTTTTTTTTTTGCATCGGTGTTTAGCAGGATCCTGGCAAGCAATTCCCCTTGAGCCCCACGGGTTTCCCTCACATTCACTCCGTTCATTCCACCACCACCCTCCCCGAGTGAAAACTACGACACTAACAGACCTGCTTAGCATTTTACAGGTTGGGGGCTCCAGGCATGATAAAGATATAACAAAAGGAAGAAAGCAAACAACATTTTTCCCGATGCCACCAATGCAGAATCAACCCATTGCCAGAGGAAACCGGAGCTCATTGCTGTTGCTGACCCCAGAGCACGCAGCCTTTGCAGTTCTTTGCTCCTGGCAGTGCTACAAGGCAGGTGAAGCCCAGGATTTGAGGACAACTGGGAGAAAAGGAAGACATCTCTTGATGGGAAAGTTGGGTTTGACATGGAGAGAACGGCTGCGGGCTGCAGGCTTGGCTAGTGAAGGCAGCCTGCACAGAGCCCTGTGCACCACCTGAGTCTCCCACAGGAGCGGAGCGAGGACGTGTCAGGGCCAGCCCTTGGGCAGGTCTCTGGATTTATGCTGCGTACTGCAGCGCCCTGCTCATGCCACGGGGAGAAAGCCTGGCCAGCCCAGCTGCCAGCAACGTGGACATGTTGCCCAGAGGCCTCGAGGCCAGGCTTGCCAGCAGGATCATGCTTGACCCAGGGGCAAGGTGTGATCCCTCCATCCTCGCCTTCCCTGCTGCGCTCAAGTTTCCACTTAGTCTGTGTCGGGCCTTTACACCATGCCCTGGGTACCAGCAGCGGAGAGAACAACATCTCCCAGGCTTGCCTTGAGCCAGCACTGGGAAATCGTCTCCCTGCAGCTCGCCCAAGAGGGAAGGGGTACGAGCTGCACGCGTCTGCCGGGGAGCAGCCTGCCACAGAGCCTGCTTGTAGGGCAAAGCCCCTGGCTGCTGGGTTTGGTGTCTGGTTTAGCAGGGGCTCTGGGTGCCCGGGGGCTGAAGGACTCCCTCCGCACATGGGCAGAGACTTCACACTGACAGCACAGACTGGCTTTGGATGGGGCTTTGCAGCTCGAGGTGCAAGGTTTCCCTTGTATAGGCTGGGAAATCTTTAGCTAGAAAGCTTGTTTTCGGTAACGGGACAGGCTCTTCCTTTCTTCAGGCAGGGCTCAAGCTCAGGAGGAAACTTCAGCAAAAAGTGCGAGATGGAAAATTTTCCTTCTCTACCAGGGCCACTACGCGGCAAATCCCCGCCATCGCTCACAGCCGAGGAGCCAGCCCTAGGTACGGACGTTGCCAGCCTCAGCCCCGTCACAGGGAACTCTCAAGCTCCACACTCACTCACCCTGCTCCAGTATCTCTGAGCTGTGCCCCTGTCCTCAGTTTGGAGGCCATCCAGAGGGTAAAGGGAGGGGAAGCAGCTAGAGATTGGGTCCTCAACAGATACAAATCAACGTGGTACTAATGGGATCAGGGGAACTACACCAGCTTGCATCAGCTGGGAAATCTGGTCTGAGCATCCAGAGAAGGAGCTTGAACAGCTCCAAGGGTATACAGGGCCACAGCATCTTCATCTCCTAAACCAGTCTGACTTTTTGTTCTCATGCCTTCCTGAGCGGCAGAGGTCTGGACCATGGTGCCATGAGATGTTGAGCCCGAGGCAGTTGGGGGAAGAGGCCTGAACACACCCAGCTTGCTTCAAGAGGATGCTAACCAGACGGCCTTGGGCAGGAAGAAAAAGGAAACAACTTACCTTTGTTCTTCCTCGAGTTCTTCTTTGGTCATCATTGACTTGTACTGGTTTCCCCTCAGCTTTCCAGGACTGTATTTAAAAGAGAACGTCTCATCTGCAGCTGGAGAGTAGGAGTGGGAGAGACAAAGAAGAGCAAGAGACTGTGTGAGCCAGAGACCTCCCGAGAGCAATGATCAGCAGCAGCGGGCTTGTTCCCTGGAGCTTCTCACTGACCCCTGCTCCCACGCACGCACCCTAAACGCTGTGGCCACCCCAAAAGATACTTCCACAGTCACCTCCCATCTCCGGAGAGCCTGGGCAGTGTCGGGGAAGCTGTGTGGGCTGCGGTGGAGAGCCAAGGTGCGGCTGGCCAGAGGACGGCAGGAGTCCCAGCTGCAGCTCGTGCTGGAAACAGCGAGGACTGCTGCGAGCAAGCAGCCCTGCTTGGAAGCAGACGCAAGTAAATCCTACAGCATGGGAACCATATGCTGTTGCTCTCTTTGGATTCAAAGCCTTGCAGACCTATCTTGGCTTATCAAGACATGCTAATCCCGCTCTGATTAGCTCACAGCATTTTCCACGTCTCCTCTCCAGACTTGCATTCCTCCTCTCTCCCTCTCCTTCTCCAGGGGCCCTCTCCCATGCTTGGGGCTCACGGACGGTGCCACGAGCAGAGCTGTCCCAGGCCGTGCAGCCCAGCAGCTCTCCTGCAGCTCTTGACAAAGCTCGTGAAAAAAGAAGGTGCCACACGGCAAATCCCAGGGCTGCAGACGGAGCTGAGCCAAGGCAGCCCCAGGAGCAGCGACACAGCTGGGTCCAAGTCCCCCTGCCACCAGCCAACAGACCTGAAGTGGAAACCGGGGTCTCCTTCTCCAGGCCCAGCTGCTCTCCCACCCGGCTCGCCAGCCTCAGCCCTGTGCTAATTAGAGCACTGAAGCTCACAGACTCTGAGCCAAAGCCGATCCTTTTCCAATCGGATTTTGTTCGAGCACTATTTGCTTTTAAAAACCTCTCCCCTGCTTTATCTTCCTAGGGACAGGAGAAAACAACAGGAGTGGAGGTCAATCCAAAGGGCAGCCCAGGAAGAGTGGCTGCTTCGGGTAGTTGCCTGTACTGGTTATCTGTGGGCTGGCTATCTGTGAGCCTTTATCTCCCAAGGACTGCAGGACTCTGCTGCCTCACATTGAGCCATCTAGCATTGCTCTTTCCACATCCACCCAGAAACATCTGCTGTTTCCACCAGCCCTCGGAGCCCTGGGGATACTTCCAAGGGGTCCACAAAAAGATGACGTTACCATATTATCTGCATGCCCCTGAAAAATCGCACGTTATCCACAAACCGAATATCCAGGATGATACCTCCCAGCACCAGCAAGACCCCCAGAGTGGTGAAGCTCCTCTGTCTTCTGTGGCAGGAGAGAAAGCCCCAACTTGTACAGAACCTGTTCCCTGTCCCCAGCCGCCTAGGAAGCCCCTTCCAGTCCTCGCTGCTGCTATTGCAGGCACCACGTTCACGACAGTCTCTCCTCCTCCACCTTCCCAAATGAAGACCACCCCACGGCCCCTCTCCTCCCTTCCTCACACCCAGAGGGATTCAGCGTCAGCACCTTCCCTTTATTTTCCAGTCAATACTCCCCTTAAGGAGTTTCTCCCCCTGTCCAGGGTCAACTGCATGATTTAGCGATTTCTCCAACCCCAAGCTCACGCGTGCACTCAGCTGCTGCCAGAGGTCCCGCAGACCCTGGGGACCCCCACGCGAAGGGCGAGGCAGAGCCTCGTTGTGTAGATGGGGAAACTTGAGATCTCAAAAACAAGCTGTGCGAGGCTGCGCGGGCGGGTGCGGGACCGAGCATGCCGACCACTGCAAGGTCACTGCCGCTAGCATAGAGCGTGCCTGGAGCGATGTTAGCGGGCCGGGGATTTAACAGAAACCTCCTCCCTGCAGAGATCCACATTTCTCTACATCTCTGCGTCCCTGATCTTGGGGAGCTTCCCTGGGAAGTCCTGGTGGATTACTGCTCAGTTACTGATCCCGAGTGTTTCTCTAATCCCCAAAACACTGTCGGGACTCCCAAGGGAACGAGGCAAACCCTTTCCCTAAGGTCTTCACAAGTGTCCAAACACAAGCACCCCCATGCTCCAATCCCGCAGCCCCAGGCATTCGGCTCGGCCATATCCCACTTCCCGCAGTGGGAAAACCCTCTGAACCGGCAGACAAACAAGTCCGGCCAGCTGGAAACAAGCAGGAA